TGGCCCATCACGTGCCAAACGGGAGGCACGTGACGGGCCAAACGGGAGGCCCGTGACGGGCCAAACGGGAAGCCCATCACGTGCCGAACGTGGGGCCCACGAAGGGCCCACTGGACCAAATGAAATGGGCTTTTCATGGGCCGTTTTCGCGGGCTTGGGCCGGGCTGAATAAGGGCCGAATAAGGACTTGGGCCGGGCCGCGGGCCTCCACGTGCTTGGGCCGTGCTTGGGCCGTGGCCTGAGAAGTTGAGGCCTAGCCCTAGTCCATTACACGTGCCGTGCCGGCCCGGCCTGTAACAGTAACGAACCGGGCCGTGCCGAATCATGCACTATTACGGGCTGGGCCAGGTCGTCCATGGACGGCCCGGCCCATTTGACACCTCTACTTACAAAATGATTGGATTATCCTGGTAATATATATATATATATATATAAATATATATATATATATATATATTTCGTTTATATGTGAAAAATTATCTCATCATAGGTTTTTATATATGAGAGAAAACACCTATTTAAACTGGATTTTTTTTATAGAATATTTAAATTGGATGTTTCTGAGTATTACATTTAAATTATAACAAAATAAAAAATTATATATAAATTAATGAAATCTGATAAAAATCTAGCATTTTAAATAAGATAGGATATCCTTTTCTTATTCTAAAAAAAAAAACTAATAATCAGCAATATTTTTGCTAATGTCTTTATGACGAGGGCATATTGCCACACGTGGGATACATCATTCTAACTGAAATAACAAATATTACCTCAGCAAAAAAGGGAAAAAAAAAAAAAAAAAAAAAGAGGAGATTTACAAATGTCTCTTTTATTTTTAGGAGCACTAACTTTTATATTTTAATAAGTGATGACTAGGTTTTATTGCGACTCATATTGACTAGAAGATAATAATAGGGTTACGTCTACTACGGAGTAGGAAACTCTAATCCGGTGTATATATTTGATTCAAAATCTTAGAATATATATGTATTAGGTTACGTGGGGAGTAATTCGTGTGTTAAGTTTTAATTACTAAGTTATTATTAAAAATATATAAAATAAACAAAAAAGGACTAAAAAAGAAAAAAAATAACATTTTTAGGGCAAGAAACTAAAAAAAGGTTAAAAAATGACTAAAATGAAAAAATAAAAAAGTTTTAGGGCAAAAGAGATCGAAATGAAAAAAAAAAAAAAGTTTCAAGGAAAAAATTAAAAAAAAGGTATCAAAAAAATAACTAAAATGAAGAAACAAATAAATTTTAGGGTAAAAGGAACCAAAACGAATAATAAGTTTAGGACATATAAAAAAGGTTAGAAAATGACTAAAATGAGTAAAATAATAAGTTTTAGGACAAAATGGACTAAAATGAAAAATAATATAAAGTTTCAAAAGTAAAAAAAGAGTAAAAAACGGACCAAAACAAAGAAATAAATTGGTTTTAGGGAAAAATGAACTAAACCAAAAAAAATAAAATTTAAGGGCTAAAATGCAAAAAAAAAAAGTAAAAAATGACTAAAATGAATAAATAAATAAGTTTTAAGACAAAAGAAACAATAAGAACAAAATAAAGATTCAGTAAAAAGTAAAAAAAAATAAAAAGTTAAAAAAGGGCCAAAATGAAAAAATAAACAAGTTTAGGGCAAAAAAACCTAAATGGAAGAAAAATAAATTTCAAGATAGAAAAAAAGCAATACTA